GGTGCCAGCGAGGTGCAGAGTGAAACAGGGCTGTGGAGAGCCTGAGTGCCGGTAGGGGCGCAGTTTGGGGCAACACAAACCCTGGCACTTGAACAACAATCTAAAAAGGCCAGGGAGACCTGGTTCACAAATATATTTTTGTTTGGACTGGTGGGGTGTGAATTTAGGGTTGCACCCTGGTTTTGAACTTGTGACCCCCTGGCTGTGGGGCCGGCACCTATGCCTCTGGGCTAGGGAGTGCTGTATTCTGGAAGGGAGCAGAAAAGGGGGCCCCAAGCCTCTAGATACTGGAAGGAAAAGCTAGAGCCTTGGAGTCAAACCTTGTTTGGTGATTTTGGATGGGGAGGCCTAGCTAGAGAAAAAAGGGGTCAGGCCATCCTAGGCGAGACCCCAACATACCCAATATAACAGGCAGTCTCCTGCTTGCATAATATTTTTTTCATCAAGACGTGGCAGGTGATATTAGGGTGGGACAGAAGAATTCCAAAGAAGGCTCCAAGGGCTCCCCACATAAGGTGCAGATGACCAGGAAGATGGAGCTGGAAGGACAATGTGTTACATCTGTACATGGCCCTAATGAGAACTTGGTCATGTGAATCCATATTTATATGCATCTTGTAGACTAACTAAATAAAACATTTTTGGTATAAGCTTTCATGAACCCGAGTTCACTTCATCAGGTGCTCTGTAGTCTATAGCAGGAGTGCTCAAACTCTTGAGCCACTGCATCTGGCCTGTGGGTAAGGAAATTTGGTGGCGGGAGAATGGTGGCCATTAATATGGTTACCCTCCCCCCACCAAATTCCCCAAGCCCAAGCCCCATGCGCTTGGTTGGAGCCAGGGTGTGCTCTCTTCCCCTTGCAAGGCCAGGTTGAGGCTGGGCCCCTGTGAAGTTGGGCTATATCCTCTTTTCTCCCCAGGGGCTGGGCCATGCCCTGTTCCCACCCCTCCACAAGGTTTGGCCATGCCCCCTTTTCCATGGGGGCCAGGTTGGGTCTGGGCCATGCCACTTTTTTCCTGGGCAGCTGGGTTGGGGCTGGGTCACTCCCCCTTCCCCCCTGCATGGAGCTGGGTCGTGTCCTGCCTCTCTCTCCACAGAGCAGGGTGGTGAAACTCCCTTTTCCCAGTGCAGGGCTGGGCTGCCCCTGCCCCACTCCCTGCCCAATGGCCAGATGATGGCTGCCATACTGGCCTTAGGCATTGGATCAAAATCACTATCTGACCTGTGGTCAGACCAGGCACAGCTCATCTGGCCTGCTGGGCAACAAGTTTGAACACCACTGGTCTATAGATTAGGTTGAATGCTACTGGTGTATAATGTACCCTGCCACAGAAAACAACCTTATCCCTTTTTAAATTTTTTAAAATCTTCATGCTTAGGTGGATCTGGATTACTACAAATATTATTTTTGTAGTGCTGCAAAACTTTAACTTTTTTTTGAAGGTTGATTCTCTTTAAAAACCAAACAAAACAAAAAAACCCTACACATCCTGAAAGAAGATATACATCTTTACGCCAGGGGTGTCCAACCTCATTATAACATGGACCACACCAGTGTGGGCTGCACACAACAGGGGTAACACTGCTCCCCCCTCCCCCCACCCAGTCCCATCAGGCTGCATGCCCCAACTCTCTTATTACAATTATAATCCAATTTGGGCATTTCCTTCTTTATAGCAAAGATCATAATGAAATTATCAAGGGAGTTGTGACAAATCTTAACTGTTTTGAACTGGATTAGGTGATTTTTCATCAGTTCTTCAAACATTAATATAAGATTATAGGAAAGAAGAGTTTCAAGGGACTTCATGAGGTCATCTAATCCAGACTCCTGTTCAAGTTAGGATCGCTCCTGACAAACCATCTCAGCCAAGTGTCTGTCCAATTTGCTCTGGAAAATTTGTATTTTTGTATTCTAATGCTTCACCACCCTTAGAGTCACAAAGTTTCTCTTCATCTCCAACCTAAATTTCTTTGCTGCAGCATGAGGCTATTGCTCCTAATCCTGTCTCCTGCAGCCATAAAATAAAGCCTATCTCTACCCTGTCTATAATCTTTCTTCAGGTATTTGAAGACTATTATCAAATCCCTCAGTCTTCTACTGCAGTTTTCTGTGGCTGTGCATCAGCCCACCACCTGCCATTTTTTGCAGAAGCCTTTTGTCTTGCTAATCATGGTTTTGCCAACCACGGGAACTTTCAGGAACCTAACCCCAGTGGTTGGCAAGGGAAACCTGTATTGTAATTCAGTTAGTGCTGTTTGATAATGTAAATATGCAAAAAGCATTTTTCATTTTTATCTACAAATGCATAAGACATCTTTTATCAGCATTTAAGATGTTTCAGAGGCTCTTTATCAGATCATGCTCTGCCTTATTTACAAGGATATAATCTGTTTGATATGTTCTAAGAGCCAAATATTGGGTGCTTACTTCACAGTTGGAGAAGTTTTTTCTGGTTTAATCAGCTGAAAGCATACTGGCAGGAGAACTGAGCACAGGAGTTTCAGTTCCATGAAAATCTTCAATCAGGGTGGCCCTTCAGAAAATAAAAATGTGTTGAACTTACCTTGATATGTAACCTTGACATTAAAGCATGGATTTTAGATTGGAAGTGAAGTTATGCTTGCATAGTTCATTTCCATATGTAACTTCATTTGTTCAGTAGATTGTAGTTTGAAGTGTTTTTATTAATTGGCCTCAGAAGATGATTTTGAGACTTTTTTCTGTCTTACTTTTTACAATACATCCTTGGAAGAATAGGCTTTAAATAATTGACTTTTCACTTTTTGAGGAGCTTTTTAACGTATACATATTATTATAAAAGAATAGCAAGTGTTACAACTAATCCATTTTCTGTTTGTTTTTTGTTTATTTTTGCTGTGGTTTTATAATTTCTCCTTAGGGTTTTACTAGAATAATGTTCAGACATCTCTGACTTCTGAAACCTGTGTCTGCTTGTTATTAATTCCATGCATTTTCTCATTCATAATTCATATTAAAACCCAAGTATTGAATTCAGTTTTGTGAAAGAGAGCTTGTCAGAAAGAAGTGTGGTCTCTAAAGGGGGGTTTGAAAGTTATTATTTCTGGCATGTATTACACTGATTTAGGACTCTTCTGTATCATTTTCTCACTGTACTTCATTTTAATTTTTTTTTTGCAGAGAATTGCTTTTTAAAAGGGATTACAATAGTATGCTACAAATTGGTCTTAACGTATCATTACTAATCCTCCTTTGCTTTTAGTTTAAATCATTACATTTAAATTTAATTTCTTTAAAAAAAACCCAGTGCTCTTTTAAAGTTTAACTCAACATGATGCCATACAGGGAATGTATTATTTGGTGTAGAAAATGAATGCTACAATTAGATACTCTCTCCCTTATTATTGTAATTTCTTGGACCATTCTTTCTCTTATGGTACCATTTGTCTATAAATGGTTTGGATTATTGGATCCAGTCCTGCAAGATCCTCGAGTATCAATGTGCTACTGAAATCACTTGGATTTCCATATGCCAAAAATTGTAGGATTATTGAAAAAAATCATTTGTTAGCTGAAGAATTCTCTGCACTCAAATTCACACACACTGTACCTTATTTCTCCCATCCCCTTACTTAAAAAAAAAAGTGGGGACCACCTGCTGCTAGCAGTGTGTTGCTATAAATCCAGGGTAAGTCACTTATATTTACATTAATGTCATGGAGGACAGTGCAGCTCCCTATGTCCAACTCTGTGCCTATATGGCCAATATAAAGCAGTACTAAGCACTGGTGTGGACCTCTGTCCAGATGACACTTTTTTGCATCCAGCTGTATGCTGGACACTTACTAATTTGGGTCTCATTTTGTCTTGATTCTTTTTCTATACTGCTTCTAACGCTGTTAAACCGCTGGATCTAAAATTTGTGGCTCCATCAGCAAATATTTTATGCAAAGCTTAAATGTTGCAAATTAAATATGGTAACATAATATCAATGGCACCCAGCAGGAGCGGGGGTGGCAGTGGCATGGAGTTATGCCCCCCCACTGTCAACACTTATGCATCATCAGTGGTTTAGATTTATAGTAAGGGTATACCGATAAAGATTTTCTTGGCTGATACTGATAACCAATGAATAACCAACCATATCGGCAGATGCCAGTCTGATAGCTGATATTTAGTAATAGTGCAAGGCATTTTAAACTACTGACAAAATAAACCTTTTGTTTTTGTTTTGCATTTATAACACACACACGCCTCCTGCTTGCTCTGACCCTTGATGAAGAATGCAGTGACCACCTTATTGCCATGGATCTTGCCCACAGTTCCCCATGTAGTCCATGCTGCCATCACGGGTGGGTGGGGCAGACCCTCGTGGACAGTGGTGCTGGGCGTGTTTGAAGCCCCAGAGTATGCTACTGCCTCAGCACCGGCAGGTCCTGCACAGCTGAGCTCCTGTGGCTGCCGGGGAGAAGCCACTTCTGCAAAGGTGCCCAGTGCCTGGCAGAGCAGAACGTCCCTCATGCAGTGCCTTACCCTACCTGCACACAGCCCATTGTCTCTGTGGCAGCTCCGGTGCTCAGGCCCCTGTTGCACATGCGATGTTGCCATGGCAGCGGCAGCAGCAGCAGGAGCCAGTAACCCTCCCTTTGTTGCTGGGGGCAGTGCCTTGTGACTTTTCCTGGTGCCTGCTCCCGCTGCTTGCCAGGACCTGTAGTTTGCCTCAGGCTCAGACTGGCAGTGAGGTGTGGGGATTGGACTACACTTGCCAGGGTGCTTCTGGCACGTGGCCGTGATTATTGGCTACAGCGACCAAAAAAAGCTGATAGCCGATAACATCATTTTTTCTTTTATTAGTGCCAATCTGATAGCCAATCGATATATATTGGTGCAGCCCTAATTTATTTAGTTCTTAAACATATTGTTTCTTTGGGGAATATGTTATGTCGATTGCCTTAAAGCCTCTTCCTTTGGACAGATGAACTGACTGTTTTACTTTCTTTTTTTTTTTTTTTACAGGAGGATGCATCTGGTTGGCTAGTAGCTGGAGAAGGGTACACACCTGAACCAATGGAATTTCATCACCTAAATGAAATAGATGCTAAACTCCAAATAATAGTTTCTAATGGGGATATCTCCGCAATTCATAGCTCCTGTTCTAAAGTTCCAAGCCAGATTTATCAGGTACAGTACTGTACAGTACTTATAAATTACAGATTTGTTGCATGAAATATGTTTTGGGGTCAAATGAAAATAAATATATTTTTAAATGCATTTTGTAATTTTTCAGAGTTTGATCTCAATGTACTTGACAATAGTAAAGTAATGAAGTTGGCTCAATGAGGTAATTTTTATCACTGGTATGTCTTGTCTGTTTCTGAATATCATGAGAAAATGTACGTCATCTCCTTTTAAGTGGTGTATGTTTCAAGCACGTTCTACTTTTTTAGTGTTTATTACAGAACTTGGATTTAAAATTTGTGGCTTAATCAGCAAATATTTTGTGCAAAGTTTGAATTTTGCTAAACACATTGGGCATTAGTTGCAAATTAAATATGGTATCTGTAGCAGGGCACTAAGGTGCCTGCTACCTGAAAAGCAGCAGCATGGGCTCAGGTGCTGGTTGCTAGGGGCAGGCAGGAGGAGCTAAGGGGCCTACACCTGGTGAGTCAGCTGACCGGAAGGGGCAGGGCTGACTACTATAAGACCCAGATTGGAGGTGGTGAGTGCTCTCTCTCTCTCTCTCTCTCTGCTGGCAGATAGGAAAAAGGAGTACTGCCTGAAGGTGGGAAAGAGAATAAGGCCTGAATGTACCAGCCGCGAGTTACACGGGTGAGAGGTGGTGTGGTTGGAGGATGTTTAGCCAGGAGGTTTAACTTTGTGTTATAGCCCAGGGGCTTGTGTTATTGTTTGTTGTTGTCGTTACACTGGAGGACCGGATGAGGCTATTAGGGGTTGGAGGAGGCCTCATAGGGGCTCCACGGTAGCATGGGGACCCAGGTGCCAGAGAGGGCACAACATTCAGGAGTGCACTGACCCCAGCCCTGAAAAGGGGAGCAGAGGATTGGAAGCGGGCCAGGTAAGGCCAAGGCCGCCTGAGCCCTAAGGCAAGAAGCCCCAGTGCGAGCAGTTGTGAGAAGCCCCAGTGCGAGACAAGCCAGCGAGCACCAGTGAGGATGCAGGCTGCGAGACAAGCCAGCGAGCGCCAGTGAGGGTGCGGAAAGGGAAATCGACCAAACAATGTCTGGTACATCTGCGAGGCTTGGTGCGTGGTACAGGGATGGTTGGAGCCACGTATAACCCATAAGGCCAGGGTGCACCGAGTCACCCAAGATAGCACTAAGACTGAGATACATCAGAGCACCGTGACAGGACTGAGGGCAGCCTCCCTTAAACATTGTTAACATCAAAGACGTGGCGGGCGAGATTGTGAGGGTGCTTTTAATATTACCTTGGCACGGTAGGGGGCGCTAGGGGAGGTCACGGCCACCCCTAGGATCCCGAGCTGTTACAGTATCATATTATCAATGGCAATACTATCTTTTGGGCATTCAGGTTAGTAGGTCTGCACCAATAAAGATTTTTTTGGCCAATATTGATGGCTGATTATTAACCAGCCATATCAGCCAGTACTGATCTGATAACCAATATGCAGCCTGGCAGCCTGGAGAGCAGCATATGTCTGGTAAGTATTTCAGGGGGAAGTGGCATGGGGTGGCAGATTGGGGCCCCCATGATGAGGGAGGGAGTGCGGCAGGCGCTCCCCAGTTGGGGCAGGGCAGGGTGCAGGACAGAGCTGTGGGTGGCTCGTCCTGGGGATGTAGGGGTGGGGAGTGGGACCAGCACCCTGCTGCTGCGCATACCCCTGGGGGAGGCATGGGGGGCATGTGCCCCCCAGATTTTTGTATGGGGTGAGGGTGGGCTGTCCACTGCAGGCTTGAGGCCAGGGTCTGTGCCAGCCTCTTCCCAGCAGTGGGGCTGGGCTGGGGCTGTGCTTGGGGCAAGCAGGGGGTGGGTATGTGGTGGCAGTGCTGAGAGGAGGGGCTTTGGTGTGGGCTACAGCCACCCCAAAATTTGCTGTAGCCCCCTCCTATAACCCCTACTCCCAGTGCTGCCCTCCCTGCCCCTGCCAATCCCAAGTGCAGTCCTGGCCCAGGCCACCCCTGCCGAGAAGAGGCTGGTGCATCCCCTGGCTCCAAGCCTGCAGTGGGCAGCCTGCCCTTGCCCCGCACACAAATCCAGTGAGCATGTGCCCCATGCCTCCCCCGGGGGGGGTGCAGCATGGTGGGGAGCTGCTCCCATTCCACACACCCCCAGTGCCCATTGGACAAGCCGCTCACAGTTCTGGCCCAGGCCTCACCCCACCCTGGCTGGGCAGTACCTGCCCCAGCCCCACTCTCTCCCTTACCATGAAGTCCTCTATCTGTCCCCCCCACCTCTTCCCTCCCCTCTGACCCTTCCCTCGCCACTCTTACCAGCCAGATGCTGCTCTCCAGGCTGCTGGGCTGAGTGCCTGGTGGTGTGCATGCTGCATTTATGTGCATGCATGCAGCATTTATCCATGGCATTATCAGCCAAAAAAAGCCGATTGCCAATAATGTTGATTTTTCTTTTATTGGTTCCAATCCGATATAGACCGAAATACCAGTGCACCTCTACAGATTAGGCTTGCTTTCACTTATGAGGATTCCAGAGGTATCCCTTGACCCATTGTATGTCTGTTAAAGAGTAGTTAAAGATGTCGAAAAGTTAATTATTCTTCAGAGGCTGGTAAAAGCTGTTGGGGTTCACCCCTATACTCAAACTTTATAGGTGAAGAAGTTCTTTCTCATTCTTGTCTCTTGGGGATGTAGTTTATCATAAGATAACAGGCAGGTTCTGGCAGCTAAAGTAAAAATACCAGTGTGCTTTTTTAATACTTCATAAAAATGTACAGTACGGTGTTAATGCTTATAAATAAAAATATGATATCCCTGTTTTGAAATATTCTTACACAAATGTGTTTATTCTCTTGTGCTATAGCTCATATGCTTTTTGGACAGATACACCTAAGGTTATGTCCTTGTCACTTCTGTGTGGCTGTCCCCAGGAATGTCACTCTGGCAACCTACTCAATATGTACTAGTTTTGAAGCTGAGGTGGTGAAGCTGTCCTGGGTTCATCCCTCTCACCACTGCTCTTGTGATCTGTGTGTGTGGTATGCTTGAGAGTAGTGGTGGGGAGTGCTTTCGTTTGGCTTCCCTGTCTTGTTTCTGGGATTAGTTCTTGCAGAGTGGGGATGGTTGGGTGAGGCATGTTTATTTGTGAAATAGACATCCTGAAATATGTATTTGCAAAGCCAAGCATCCTAGTTCATTTATTTGTGGGGATGAAAAACATCTCCTGAAAGAACTAAAGTCATTGATCTATTGTTTTCATTGAGGTTGTGGCAGTTTTTAAATATAATATTATTAGTTGTATTTTTTATTTTACTTTTATTTTTACATTCTCTAGATTAACTCCTTCCTAGCATTCTATTTCTATCCCAGTTTATAATTTAGTTGTGAGACTGCAAATGGAAACTTTCTAATGCTGATATTTAATCTCATATTAGCAATGGCTTTTTAATGTGTGAAGCAACAACCCCATCTGGTGGTAATTTAATCACCTACATGGCTCATTTGTCCAGTCACATGAATAGTAAAGTGCTAATGCCATGAGTCTAACTGAAGAAGGCAGTGGTAAGCACACTACTGTGTTTTTTTAGATAGTCTCATTTAGGAAATTATTTGTGGGATTTTGTAAGATACCTTTTGTTTGTATGCAAATACACTTTCAGCTTATGAGTGAATTGCATGAAATGTATCTTGTAATTGAAATATTTAAAAGAACTTGAAATGTTTTTAATCCATTTATTGAGGTGATAGCTTTTTAAACATTTTTGTGTTAGCTAATGTGTACTTAGATAATAATTACTGCTCATATAAATCTTGAATTTGTTTATATGGCTTCACTACTGAGTGAAAGTCAGGTTTCCTCATTTCTTAGCCCCAGGATCTCACTGGTGTGTTCTGGATTTCCTCTCTTCCAGACATACCCCCAGGATTTCTGGGGTGTCTCTGCAAAGGGGGAAAGTCAGGGTTCCTCCCCTTCTATAGATGCTCCCCTAGCAATCTCTGTGGTGAGTCTCTGGAAATAGGGAACCCTGGAAATAGGGCACTCCGGTAGATTTCAGGGAGCATCTCTGTAAGTGAGGAAAGACAAGCAGGAACTTCTGAGGTTTGAGATATGCAGGACTGGGCTCCTCAAGCCTTGGGAGTGCCTGCACTGGGCAGCAGGAGACTGCCAGCAGTTCTGGCCAAGACGTTTACCAACTTCCAGCCCCTGTCAGTGTAACTCTAGAATACTCCATGTAGGAGATTCATTTCCCAGACACCACAGTGAAAGTTTGCAGTGGCCACATTGCCACCACATTGTATCAGAAATCTACTGACCTCCACATCTATCTTCATGCCATCAGCTTTCATCCTAAACACACCACTAGATCTGTTGTCTACAGCCAAGCTCTATGTTACAACCAGATCTTCTGGGATTCCTGTTCAATTACAATTACCATACAACCCCAACAGTGTAACCGCTGAAATTAGCAAAGGCAGACGCAAACTTTTTTTCTGACCTGTTACAATACCAACCTTGAGACAAGGACAACAGCTTGAACACATCATTAGTGACCTCTAATCCCTTCTGGAAAAGGATAACTGTCTCAAGGTAGCCTTTAGGAACAAACCTGTCCTGGCTCACAGGCAGCCCTACAACTTCAAGCACTGTCTCTCAGACAATACGCGGGTTAACTTCTGTTCCCACGAGGCACCAGGCCTTGCAATAGACCTAAATGCCTGATGTGTTTCCACATCAACACGGACCACATCATCACTGGACTTAATAACAAGGAGTACAACATCTAAGGTTCATTCACCTGCAACTCTACCAATGTCATATATGCCATCACCTGCCTCAAATGCCTGTCTGCTGTCTACATCAGATAGACAGGGTGAGCTCAGTGTGTAATAATGAATTAACACAGATCCAACATCAGCTGCATAAGACACAAAAGCCTGTGGCAGAACACTTCAACTTCCCTGAAAACTCCATTGCTAACCTCAGGCTAAAAAATTTAAAATCAGTTTGAATGGGAAACTGAAACA